AAAGATCAAGAAAACTACAGATGAAATCAAGGAAAACATAGACAAAACTGGAAAAATTCAGGAAACAAATTAACAAAATGATTGAAAAAAAATGGGAGCCATACAAAACCAGCAACTAGAAAGTCCAAAGATTAGCACTAAGACTTCGGAAATAGATTATACACTATAAGGGCAAGAAAGAAAAGCAATGGGAAGCCATGTTACTGAGCTTGAACAAAAATCTCTCGATATTCATCAGCCAGAGGGACAATCAGAAAAAAGAACAAAAAAATCTGAAGAAAGCCAAAGATTTATGTGGAACACTATCAAGGAGCTCTGGTAGCATAGTGGTTACAAATCGGGTTGCGAACCACAAGGTCAGCAGTTCGAAACTACCAGCTGTTCTGTGGGGGAAAGAGGAGGCTTTCTGCTCCCGTAAAGATTTACAGCCTCGGAAACCCTGTACAGGGTCTCTATGAGTCAGAACCGACTCCACGGCACCTAACAAATCAAGAAGAGTACCTTGTGTGTAGCTGGAATACCAGAACAGACAGAGAGAATAAGAAATCTCCATATTATCCAAGAGTTTTTGGGAGAAAATTTCCCTAATATCATGAAAGATGAGAAGATAGACATTCAAGAAGTTGAACAAATTCCAAACAAAATAGACCCTAAAAGAAAAACATCAATACATCTTATAAATTAGCATTTTAAAACCAAAGACAAGGAAGGAATCCTGAGAGCAGCGTAGGAAAAACAAAGTATTACCTATGAAGAAGGACTAATCAGACTAAGCTCTGATTTTTCAGCAGAAGCCATATAGGCAAAAATGGCATGACATATATAAAACTCTGAAAGAAATAAATTGTCAACCAAGAGTCATATATCCAACTGGCTTACAAGTGTTCAAGAGGAAGCCTAGATCCAGAGGGTATAGAGGAAGGTAGAATCTCCACTGAGCAGTATCCAAACTGTCTAGGTGGGACTGATGAAAGGAGATGGGGATAGGACTCATGAGGTACAATGGTGAATAATTGATATCAGGACTGACTGTGAGGGTTAGAAATATAAAGATAGACTTTTTTAGCAAAAGGAGGGGAGTGGTTGACTTTGCAGTCCAGAAGCGGAGGTCCCTGGGATCGTCAAAGGAGAAGAGCGGAGAGCAGGACCCTACCCCAAGAAGCAGTGACACCAGAGATGGAGGCAGAGATGATGACGTGGAGAGATGGAGCAGCTGGAGGCTTTAGATCCATAGAGGGAGAGAGGCTGTGTGCTGATGACCAGGGAGCAGGCTTGTTAATGATGCATGGAGGGGATTGTAACCATGATAATGAAACGATATATGATAGGATGAATGTAAAGCTAATGTTCTCCCATGTAAACTAACTCATAACTCACAGTAAAACATTAAAAAAAAAAAAAACCAGTCATCTATCCAGCAAAACTGTCCATCAAATATGAAGGCAAAATTAGGTCCTTTTCAAACAGAAATGAAAGAATTTGTAAAAACTAGACTAAGCTTACAAAAAATACTAAAAGGAGTTCTTTTGGACAGAGAACCAAAACAGCAGACAACAACCTGATAATAACATACAAGAGAATATCACCGAGACTCAACCGAGATATAGAAATACACAAAGAACTATAAAACTGAAAACAGAGAACCAGACATACAGTAGGAAAAACAACCCCCCAAAAACCATCAAGTAAAATGAGGGAATGATGTCGTTACAGAACTTCCAAATGAGAGGAAATTAAATAGATTTCAAGAAAATAAATAAATAAACAAACTTAACAATAACCCTAAAAACTAGACCAAGTCTTACTCCTAACCTAAGTAGGCGTGGGTCCAGGTCTTAAGAAGTTCATATCTGGGAGATATACTGGACACTTCCAAGTCCCCATCACCTCCAAGATCAACCTCAGTAACACACCTGGACATTGGTCCTCAACATCCCCCTCACTCTCTCCAGTTTCCTGGGACCACCTCTTCAACAACCAGTGGCACAAGCCCTCAAGTCAGCTCTGCATTCAGCTGGCCAGGCGAAGCTTGTTACTTGCAAGTCTGCATCCTTCTCATGGAACCAGTCTTTAGTCAACCATGCCCAAACTCTTGCAACCTCATTGTGCCCAGGTTTCCTTCCTGAACCACAGACCTTCCCTGACACATCCCAGCCCAAGAGTCTTTCTTGGCTCTCCACTGCTTTCGAAGCCACTCAAGGGGATCTGAAATAAGGACTCACTTCCCAACTGCACACTCCTCAACCTTGCCCAGTGACCTCAGAGTTCTAATAGCCCTGGACCAGGATGACCTTCTCTTGTTCTCCTCCAGGCATCACTCACACTATTCCTTCTTCCTGCTGCCTGCTAGAATGTAAACATTCCATTGAATTTGAACCCAAAGTCACCTTTCCTCCCAACCCTCTCCTGGGAGGGCTCCTAGGTACAACATCTTCCATTGTGGAGACCTTATTTCAGCCAGACCTCATTCTCTCATGAACTCCTGGGACAGCCTTGGAAGGTAGGGTATGGCTATGCTCTCCATATTAGGAAACTGAGTCACAGAAAGGTTGAGTCTCAGATTGTGCAGCAGGGAAGTGAAGCCAGGCCATTTGACTGGCCTAAGCAAAAAAGGTGCCTTGAAAGGATATTGGGCAGAAACCAGGAATACAGAACAGGATGCAGTAAGTAGTGTGGTAAGGTCATGGTGGGATCACCTCTCACACAGGTTCTACAGATGTTACCACAGCTAGTCCCCAAGTTCTTATCCCCAGCTTGGATGCTGCAAGTCCATCCAGTTGACCTTTGTCTAGGTCACCCAGACCTCAAAACTCAAGGAACATAAAGGAAACAAGGGTAAATTGCTACAATTTGATGAACTTGACCTATACTCATGGAGGCAGTAACTCTAAATACCAACAGAGAGGGAAGGAGTCTTCCATCAAGTATCAATGCTATCCCCTCTGTACACAGGGTAGATGTTGTTGTTGTTGTTGTTATGTACCGTGGAGTCAGTTCCGACTCATAGCAACCCTGCATAGAGTTTCCGAGGCTGTAAATCTTTACAGGAGCAGAAACCCTCCTCTTTTCCCGTGGAACAGCTGGTAGTTTCGAACTGCTGACCATGAGATTAGCAGCCCAATTCGTAACCATTACACTACTGTTGTTGTTGTTGTTAAGTGCCATCGAGTCGGTTCCGACCCATAGCGACCCTGTACAGGGTTTCCGAGGGTGTAAATCTTTACGGGAGTAGAAAGCCTCATCTTTCTCCCGCGGAGCGGCTGGTAGTTTCGAACCGCTGACCTTACGGTTCGCAGCCCGATTCGTAACCACTACGCTACTACTAGAGCTCCTTATATAGGGTAGATAGAGGTGGGCAACTTAGATATTGACTACCTAAAATGAGGGGGTAGTAAAGGCACGAAGTGACTGGCTTACAATGTTTCAAGAGGCAGTTTAGTTTAAGAGTGTGTGTGGGAAGGTGGAGTCCCCACTGAATAGTTTTCATCTTTTCTAGACAGGTCTGGTAAAAAGAGATGGGGATAAGATTCTTATGATTCAATAGTGAGTAATAGTTATCATGTCTAATTGCAACTGTCACAATTATAAAGGTAGAAGTTTTGTAACAAAAATGGGGAAGTATTTAATCTTACAGTCCAGAAACAGAGGACCCTAGGACCATCAAGGGAGAAGAGTACAAATGGAATGCAGGACCTTTCCAGAGAAGCTGCGACACCAGAGGAGGAGGCAGAGATGGGGACATGGAAAGAGGGAACAGCCGAGGACTCTAGATTCATGGGAAGAGAGGGACAGAGAGCTGGCAGCCAGGAGGCAGACTTGCAGAATGTGTCTTTTGGTGGTTTAAATTATTATATATGCCTGAGTGTTTAAAAAAAAAAAAAAAGAGCTAAAATGAATAAACAGAAATACTGTTAACTGATAGTATATGAAAGGGATTATAATCACTGTAATGAAACAAAGTATATGATTTGTTGAATGTAAAACTGATGATCTGCCCTGTAAACTTTCACTCAATTCACAATAAAAATGTTAAAAAAGAACCCAAAAAACTCAAGGAGCAGAAACCTCACTGGTGAACCTGGTGAGGGTAGCCAGCCTTTCCCCCAAATGAGCACTGTCCACTGCACCTCACACAGACACAGCTGATACCCCAGGTTTTATTCCTGCTCATGACACTGGCTCCTTTGCACCTGTGGGTGTGAGTTGCTCATCTTTGCCTCCACTGAGCCAGTACACATGCCCACAATCCGTAGGCCTGTACTTCGATGGATGTTTATTAAATGACTGTAGGGCTTGGGGGGAAAGTGATGCAACTGGTACTCAGTGGTCCTCATTGTTTTCTTGTGTTAAAGCCAAAGCTTTGAACCAGTTCTTTCCAGTTCACTTATGGCTGATGAAGTGTAAATGAGATGGACTAAAATTTGCAAAATGTGGGTGCTGAGAACAATAACCAGAATGGGGAAAGTTACGGGTCGATACCCTCCTATAATGTAATCTCCCTCTTAGAAAACAAGGACAGCATGCTCATTGCATAGCAACCATATCTCTTGACTGCCAAAGTCAGAAACAACAATGCCCTGTTCGAAAACAAGAGCACTGTCCACAACGCTTTCAATGTGTCACTCCCCACAGTGTGGACTATCATCCTATCTCCTGCATCAAGTTCCTGAAACAGCTCATTATTATTTTTCCCATTCCAGTTATAGTTCCAGGCAACCACATTTTCCAAATTCTAGTCCATTTGGTTCTACTTTATTGGTCATGACTGAAGTTCAAAGCAGTGCAAAGCCCTGCATTAAGTATGGTGTTTAAATATTACCAAGCTTCTCATGGAACAACCTAGATTTCTGACTTTTTGAGGACAAGGGGAAGATCTGGAAGCTTAGTAATGTATGGCCCCTGGAACAAACACCACCATCAGCACTCCCTGTTGTCCTAAGGTCCTCAGCCCTCCTTCAGCCCAGGCCAGTTGGTCTTACCACCCCCTGGTGGCCACTCACATTCATCATGTTGAAGATCTCATTGTTGTCCAGTAACAGCACCTGCAGCTTGACCAGTGCATCCAGGGAGTCAATCTTGGAAATACGGTTATTGGACAAACTCAGGTCCTCCAGGTTCACCAGTGTGTTCAGTCCCTCGATGGTCTCAATATTGTTGAAGGACAGATCTGGGAAGCAGGAATAATTGGTTTAGGGATGAACTGTCCAGGCTCCATGTTTCGTGAGCTCTCAGTCAAGCTATTGGGCCAAGGTCAGACTTGCTACCTGGCGGCAGGTAAGCTTCTAAGAGCTTTGCATGGATTTTCTCCTGCAGCTCCACACCCTCACCACCTTCTCACTTCTGCTTGAGAATCTTTGCCCCATCATCTTTCTGGCTAGGGATACACATCACTCTTCTAGGAAGTGCTTATATGCATTTCCCAAGGGGAGGCCACTGTAGAGTCTCCTTCCTTTACTCCAGGAATCCAGTAACACTACTTCCCAGCAGCTCAGCACTGACCACTTTATAAAGTGCTTGGGTGTGTACCCTCAACAACAACTGAATGGTAGCTTAGAATCTCTTTCTCCTTTTTATCAGTTAGGAAGCTGAAGCTCAGAAAGGATCTGTGACGTGCTCAAAGCCACCCAGCTGACCATAGGGAGTAATCTTGTTCTCTCATGATTCATGGCCAGCCAGGCTTTCCCAGCTACCTCACAGCTGGCTCAGGCTCCTCTCCAGCCTCAGCACTATGGAAACCACAGAAATTGTCTGGGAATAAAAGTACTTCTTCCCATGACAGGGTCTCAGGGCTGCAATTCTGTTCTGGAATACCAGTGACCCAGAGACCAGAACAGGGCATTTTTCATGACTTTGAAATGTGATGATAACTGCAAGCAACCACATTGACAAGGTGGTCTGGGAACAGTTTAGCCACATCCTATTTGAGCCTCAGGTGATGTTGATGGGCTGTGGTTAAGCTAGCCCACTTCCCTGACAGCTTCTGAGACTAACGTTAACTTAGTGTCCCTTCTCTTTGCCAGGACCTTTACACTATGACTGAGTGAAACTTCACAGCACAGTAATCATCACTATGAAGATGAGGAACCTGAAGTTCAAAAGACTGTGGTAATCTTCCTGATGTCACACAGCATACACAAGAGAGGTGAAATGATTTGTGCAGAATCAGTCCACACTGGCAGAACTGGGATTTAAATTGGGCTGCACCAAATGCCAGCCTGCACACTCCTATCCCACTTGGCCACCAGTGTCTCTCCTTTGGTGGCCTGTCTGCCCCCACCCTCAAAACTAGTAGTGCATTGGTCAATGTGTAATAACTAGGGGGAAAGACCTGATTTACAGTACTTTCCAATTTCTGTCGTCTAAATACTCTCCCGATGGTAGATTTCATGGAAGCAGCAGTCAAGAGATGAGACGACGTATTGCATTAGGCAAATCTGCTGCACAAGACCTTTTTAAAGTGTTGAAGAGCAAAGATGTCAGCTGGAGGACTAAGGTGCGCCTGACCCGAGTGATGGTATTTTCAATAACCTTATATGCATGTGAAAGCTGGACAGTGAATAAGGAAGACCATAGAAGAACTGATGCTTTTGAGGTACGGTGTTGGAGGAGAATACTGAAAGTGCCATGGGCTGCCAAAAGAACCAATAGATCTGTACTGGAAGAAGTGCAGCCAGAGTGCTCCTTGGAGGCCAGGATGGCCAAACTTCGTCTCTCATACTTGGACATATTGTCAGGAGGGACCAGTCGCTGGAGAAGGATACCATGTGTAGTAAGGTGAAGTGTCAGAGAAAAAGAGGAAGACCCCCAGCGAGATGGATTGGTCAAGTAGCAGCATCAATGGGCTCAAGTGTGGCAATAATAGTGAGGCTGGTCCAGGATTGGGCAGTGTTTTGTTCTACTGTGCATAAGGCTGCTATGAGCCAGCACCGACTTGATGGCACCTAACAACAACAATGGTCGATTTCAAAGAAGGTGGGGTGGTACAATGGGTTAAGCATTTGACATAAGGTAGATGGTTCAAATCTACCAGCTGCTCTTAGAAAGATGACGCTGTCTGTTACTATAGAGATTTAATCTCAGAAACCCATTGGAGCAGTTCTACTCTGCCCTACAAGGTCACTGTAAATCAGAATACATTTGACAGCAGTGGGCTTGGTTTGGGTTTGCCTGATTTCAAGCTCCCACCACAACACCTCTGGAATGCAAAGCTGCAAAGAGCTGTGTGAGGGTGGTTTTTCAAGAGCCAATGCTAGCAGCATCTGTAACCCCAGCTCTGTGGCAGCTAGCTGTGCTTGAGATGTGGGGACTTTGCTGAACCATCCTAGCCACCCCATTCTTCCTGGCTATTTAATATTGGGTTGCCAAGTGAGTCCTGCTCCTAGAATCTTCTCTGTGAGTGCAGCTTGGCCTCCTACTCCTGGCATGCCCTCTTTTTGCTTCCTTATCCCATACCAGGACATCAAACTACCTGCTGAAAGGCCTAAGAGCAGGGCCAACTTACTATCTGGGTACAGGGGCTCCAGCTGGTAGGAGATAGGCTTTTGTTAGGGGGGAAGCAAAGTCTCTCTCTGGATGGGCAGGCTGACAAGGGTTCTCAGTGGGCACAATGGCACTGAACATATATCTAAGAGACTGCTGGGCCTGCTAGCTTTTGCTGCACATCACAGGGTCCAATTGCCTGTGCATGGTAGGTCTTCCCAAGAGGCACATGATGCAGGGCTAGGGCTGACCTGAACTTGCAATGACAGTTCCACTCTGGCTGCCCTTCTGTCCTGTAGAGAGATGACTCTGGCAATGCAGGTGGACTGTGATGGGGAGGGAGGCCTGAGTGTGGTCTGCCTCTGTTACAACTAGCTGGTGACTGTCAGGCCAGTTAGCTTCTTTGAGTCTCCATTTCTGTATCTATGAGGTAGCCTGGTAAAGCTTGCCGACAGGGCTGCTTCAGGCTTGCAACATCAGCACGGATGTTGCTAAGAGTTCTTGGAAAACTGTGAGGTGTGATACCCTGGGATACCCCTGTAATCAGACAGCAGTCTGGTAGGACATGTGGGTTTTAGAGTCAGACAAGTGTGCCTTTGAATCCTAGCCCTGTCAGTTCTTGGCCGCATAGTTTTGGGTGAGTGACTTGGCTTCTCTGAGGCTTGACTCATTGTCTGCAGAATGGAATTGAAACAGAGAGCCATCTGTTAGGATTCTTGTAGAGGGTCAGTAAGACAAGGTGTAGGTTAGGGATTGGACTGTGTCCCCCTAAAAGAAGATGCTGAAGTCTTAACCCCCATACTTGTGGTCATAAGTGAAAATAAGGCCTTTAACAATTTTATCAGTTAAATTAACATGAGGTCATCCTGGAGTGGGATGAGTTCGAATTCCACTTGAACGGTGTCCTTTTAAAAAGAGAAGTGACCCAGTGCCACACAGAAGAAGGATGACCATGTGAAGATGCACCTGCAAGCCAAGGAATGCCTGCCTTGGTCTGTAGGGTAAGCACTGAATTGATAACCTCAAGGTTGGTAGTTCAAACCCACCAGCTGTTCTCAGAAGCTGGCATTATAGCATGCATCAACAGCAACCAGAGCTGAAGAAGACAAGCAAGGATCTTCTCTTAGAGTATTGGAGAGATCATGGTCCTACTGACACAACCTTGAATTTGGACTCCCAGGCTCTTTCTGAGATAATAAATTCTGGTTCTTAAGAGCCATCCAGCTTGTGGTACTTTATTACAACAGACCTGGAATACTAAGACAGCCTATAGCTAACCCTTAGGTTTATCCTCTTCTCTCTGTTAGGTGCCTCATCAGATGTGAGGGTGCTTTCCAGCAGGAGCAGCAGATTACCAGTGAGGGACAGAACTCGAGTCAAGCCAGGCTAGGAGCCTGATGCACCCACTTACCTGCTGTGACCTCAGTGTGCTCTTCTCTACAATGGCGGTGCTGTAAGGATCTAGAGGTCTCACACAGAAAGAATATAGGCCCATGCTTAGCATACAGTAAGAGCTCAATTCACACTAACAGCTGTGATGCTTATTGCAACTGTGGGGCCCACAGTTAACTAGCAATTTGAGTTTAGGTTAAATAGAATGGCTGTCCCAGAGAGATTGGACAGATGGGAGCAGACTATTCTTTCCTGGTGTGTCTGTGCTTTGTCCAGCTCAGAAACCAGACTGTAAGTGCTCATCATGTTCTTTTTCCAGTGGATGGTAGCTCTGCTGCCCCAGGATCATGATGGCTTGGCAGAAGACTATCATATGTGATTACTGTCTCCTAGGCAGGTAATACCTAGGCAGGGCATCATCTTAGATTTGGGCAGACACACAGATGGGGCCTTACCCAGCCAGATGAGTTGTGTGAGGTTCTCCAGGCCCACGATCCTCTCAATGACATTATTGTCCAGCTGCAGCTTCCTCAAGTTCTCAAACTGCCAGAGGTTGTCTATCTGGAGGATGTCTGAGGTAATCAGAGGATATAACTTGGTTGGTCACAGCCTTGGGTTAGGGTTTTGTGCCAGTGTATGGGAGGACTGAGGCAGTTAATATTAACCATACAACAGGTCCCACAACACTCCCACCTTGGAGTATCCAGATGCTTGTGGGATAGGTATTGAGAAGTCCTATGAACCCTAATAGTACAAGAACAGTGATCAGCGCTGTCTTGCAGGACTACAGGAAATCCTATTGGATCCACATGGGGAAATGATGGGGATGCACTGTTGGTAGGAGAGCCAATCAATCCATTTGGTCTATCTGAAGGACAATTTGGCAATGTGCACTAAAATGTTTGTCTGTGCTCTTTGGTCTTGCAATTTATCTACTTGGAATCTGACTGTAAAGCCACAATTGTGTGTGTGTATAAAAGATAACCTAGAGGAATATTAGAAGCAGAAAAATAGGATAAAAAGAACAAATGTCCCTACATGGAGGATAGAATAAATCTACCATACACAGAGAGAAAGAGGAAGAGATCTGATCTTAGTTAAGAATCTAGATCCAGTCATGTCTGAAGACCACCTGCCCCAGTTATATAAGCTAACTTATTCCCTTCCCTACTTGGGTCAGTTTTTAGTTTGGTTTCTGTCACTTGTAGCCAAAAGAGTTCTGAGATGCAGAAAAGACACTAGACAAAATTCAACATGATAAAAACAGGCAATAAACTAAGAATAAAAGGGAAATTCTTAAACATGATAAAGAGCATTTACCAAAAAATGCACAGTAAATATCATACTAAATGGTAAAAGACTGACAGCTTTCCCCCTAAAATTGGTAACAAAATAAGGATACCCACTCTCACCACTTGTAGCTTAGTGGTTACGAATCGGGCTGCAA